GGAGCTACAGAAAAAGGAATGGGGCAAGTTAAATACTATGAAACTGCTACATATATAAGGTTCTTCCAATTGTTAGATGCCTGTGGTTAGACTTCTGAAAAAGTTTTTTTACATTGTTCTTATTGCTGTGACAGAACAGTGGATTTTTCAGAGGTTCTTACCTGACAAATCTAGGAAAGCTCTTAAGGAAGCTATTTTTATAATTACAGTTGCACAATAATATTCCCTTCTTATGTGTTTGGGGGGACTGTTTGTGACAGGGTCTTGGTAGGTAATGAAGGCTGTCCTTGAAGTCAATGCAATCCTCCTGCCTCTGCCTCCCCTGGGCTGGCGTTACAGGTTTAACGCTTGATTAGCAGTAAAACCTTGGTTCACTAACTCTTCTGTTTGCATATAATTAGATTCACAAACAAAAGTATTCAACAAAATTTTGCTCCTATCTGCAAAGTCCACTTTGGGTGACTAATACAACCACAGCCATCTTCCCCTAAACTGTAAAATAAACTGAAGTTTGTAAACTGAGGTAGCACTGTAAAAAGAAATTATTTCCAAATAGAAGATGGACATTTAAAAGACTACTTTTCTCACCTGGCATTTTTATTTTATCCAAGTCAGCAACCAGTGAGTATGAGTACTACTCACCCTGAGGTGAGTAGTATAGCCTGGAAAGTTACCAGGGACAGAAAGGGCTGTGGTGGTGGTGGTGACTGCTTGCTGCCTTCTGCGTGCCATAAAGAAGGCTGCCTTCTGCTCTACCTTCTGCATGGTAGAGCAGACTGTTTCTGCTCTACCATGCAACTGTGCATGGGAACCAGCCATCCATGAAACTGAAACCTCTACAAAACATAAGCTGCAACAGACCTTTCCTTCTTTAACTTTGGGAGTTAGGTATTTCATCTCAGCAATGAGAAAATTAAGATACCACTCAATGATGAATAGACTACCCTCTAAGAAAACTGGAAATTCACATGCACATCAAATAAGTTGAATCTATCTCTACCATATATAAAATTCAAAAATGGATCAAAGACCCCAAGAGATAAAACTCAGAATAGGAAAATTTTCATAGTATTGGGTCAGATGTGACCTTCAATGACACCAAAAGCACCAACAAAAGACATAAGCTACACTTTATCAAAATATTTTGTACAGCAACGATGCTTATCAAGAGAATGAAAAGAAAACCTACAGGGAGAAAATATTTTCTTATGCCTATACTTAATAACAGGCTAATTCCCACAGTAAAGAACTCTAATTCAACAAGGCAACACAATTTAAAATGGACAAAGAAGAAGGGCACCTACAGTACAAACTACTGTATTCAGGAAGACTGCTGTATGCAAGAGGATTGCTTGAGCCCAGTTTAAGCCTGAGTGAGACCTGTTCCAAAAAACGAAAAACAGTTAAAAAGGTAAATTTGGTAACTGATAGTTACCAGAGAAAATTTTAAAATGATAAACTATTCAAAAGGCATTCATCGCAACTAATGAGCCAAAAGAGCAAATGGTTACAGAAATTATTAAAGTAGGATTTTAATGAAGCCTGAACTGGTAGAAATGGCCAACAGTATTTCTTCTCCTGTCTCAAAGCAAAGACATACACACACTCACACAAGGCACTCAAGGCACTATCAGGTATCTATAATTGTATTTTGCAAAGGATTACACATCCAATGACTTTACTAATGACGTACAGTTTATGTCCTCCCACGTGTCCTCCCACACTGACAGATAAAACACATTCTCTAAGCACAAAGCTTATATTAACAAATAACTTTCTGCTTAAAAACAAAATTTCAATTAATAACCACAACAGGGATTTAGTTATTTAATGCAACCACTAATCTAATGTCATCAATAGGATCTAAACAGTTTTACCACAAAACCAGGGATATATTCAATGGACATGCATTAATAATCTATGCAGTTTAACATTATACCAGAAAAGAAATTGAATATAAAAGTACTCTTAATTTTTGGTAGTTTTCAAATTTCATGGCACAAATTACCCAAACAAGGAAAACCTGTAAAAACAGATTTTAAATATTTTAATAAAATGGTAGAAAACTGAAGCCTTTAAGTTTTCACAGTTGGCTTTAAGATTTAAATGTCAAGCTGGCCCCAATCTGTCAAAATTGACAGGTAAATATTTACAATGACTAGACAGACTTTCCTTGCCTGATATGGGAGGTCTAACATCTTACCAAAACACTTTGGGGTCAATTTCTCAATGCAAACGTTTTTGAGTAAATACCGTGGTGATATAAACGTAGAGACATATGTAGTATCGTGACAAGGATGAAAA